CTCATCATTCATCTCTCATTTCTCTCTCTCTCTCTCTCTCTTGTGTGCAACTTTTATAGCCCTCCAATCAAAGCCAGTTCTGGGATTAAAATCAGTGCCACTGAAGCCAAAGAACTATTACATTCAACACAACTCTTGCAATTGTTGGCTCTCATGAATAAACATAGATTTGCTTTTGGGCTCAAACTTGCATTTAATACAATCGCACGGCTATAAGACCGGGTCTTCAGTATTCACCCATACATACAGACTCTCCGACTACAGGAGTATCTTCTAAATCAAGATAAGTCTTATTAAATTTGTGTAAATAATGGCAATAAATTACACAAAAAACACATTAAATTTTCATTCATTGTTAAATAAGATTATATTTAATTATTTAGTATTTAGAAACATTTTATTATGCAAAACATATTTAAAAATAGACGTGTATTTAAATTGAGACCCATTTATCTCAGAAGCGATTGATTTACAGGACATTAATCTTTTCGGTGGAGGAGAAGGCACTGTTCGGTTGACGGATATTCAGGCAAATTGAGTTCATATTTGAGTGCCAACACCGGAGGAATGAATCGTCCGCCCAACCAATGGTATCGACCGGTAAAATGTTTGGCACATTTCTTGGGAGCCGTCAACGATACCAAACAGTCGGCCTCAATCACAGGCGTTCCGTCAGTTGGCGGGCCCTCCTCTACATTCCAACCGCTGGGAATGTCAACACTTATAATGGGAACACCCGATAGACCCGATTCCACCACTTTTCTTAATATATCGCCGAATTGAGGCCGAATCGGAGGCTTATAACTGAACCCAAATATGGCGTCCACTATAAGATTGTAGGAATCCTTTATCTGTTGAGTCTCTTTGGGTAAATCAGGAATGAATTGAATGTCAAATTTGTTGCACTGATTGACCAAATTCTTAAATAAAACAGAATTTCCAGCCTTTGGATAGAATATTGTCGGAAGGAATCCCTATTAAGTAAACATTTAATTAGTTTATACCAAAATTGATTTGTAAAATACAAACAAATAGTTTGAGATGACGGGCGGCCACGAGTCCGTCTCCACCGTTATTGCCGGGACCGCAACAGATGAGAACCGTTGGCCTCTTATCACCGCTAACTGTTCCATAGCTCTTAGCGACAGCTATGGCAACACTAAGACCGGCCAATTCCATCAACTGATCCACACTAAAGCCATACTCACTGAACAACTCTTCGTCTATTTTAATGGCCTCTTCTTGACTGAAACGAAACGCTTTTGTCAATTATTAGAGGACACAAAACAGACAAAACATTCAAAACAATCGGCAAAACATTAAACAAAGACTTGGAGTCAAACGTTTCAACAATCAGTCGATTAATAATCAATTGAATCGAAATCAGTTCCCAAACAATCGAAACCGAAAACCTATTAATCGCTCAAATTTTAACAACAATTTGAATCGAAATCCAAATCAAAACTTTGTCCGCAATAATCAAAGGCGAAGAAATGTCGGCAACAACTCCCAAAACAGGGCAACCGTTACCGCTGTTCGGCCTAAAGGTATCCATTCTTTTGTCTCATTGACCACCAATTGGTGACAATAATCTATTGATGTCTTATAGGACTTAAAGGCAATCAAAACAAAGGCGTCCGAAGAGCGCAAGCATTTAAAGGGACACAAAATGCGATGAGAAGTGGTTTTAAGCCAAAACAGAGACAAATGGGTCAACAAATGCGCGCGAATCAGGCGAAGACCGGAATCAAGAAGAAGTTCCAAATCAACAGAAACTTCAATACAAGAAAACAGACCCAACGAAAGGGACGTCCAGTCAAACCAGACAGAGAACAGTTGGACAATGATTTGGACGCATATATGGCCAAAACTAAGAGCCATTTGGACGCTGAGATCGATGTTTATATGTCTCAAGCGAACTGATCCAATGATCACCATCTGAATCACTATTTCGGTTAAACGTTTGAATGAAATTAATTTTAAGTTAACATCAATTACTGTCTAAAAAGCATTCAATTTATTTACGATTATTTATGATTTAATGTTAACTCTTATGTGTATATAAACTAATAAAAAGTAATCATATTTTGTATTTATTTCACTAATAATACATAAGAAACTAATTCTGTAATAATAAATACAATAAATATATTCACAATCCATTCAATTGGTAATACATTTGTCTATTCTCTGGAATCGCAGCACACAATAGAGCTGTTTGTTTGGCTATTTGTTGGGTGTTTACTGTTTGGGCAGTTAATGTGTGAATGGGAATAATGGGTCACAAATTGTCACAATTGATCACTAATTAATTGTATTGCTTTGCATTTGTGATGGATTCGTTAGAAATGCCAATTAGTTGCCAATTCTATGCAATAATAATGAATGACAAATGTATGCAAGGGTTTGGACTCCAAAGTTTGAAGGGATGTCTGTATTGATGTCTAGTCTGAGCCGGTGTTCAGAGTAGAGGCGAAGCGCTATCTCTAAAGCAATGGTTCAGTCATTCATTTCAACAACAATTCATTGAATTATTAAAGTTTTATTTAAAAATTAGTTGTCTTTTATTTGAAACAATTAAATAAAGTACAATATATGCTATTGAAGAGGAGCATCACCTTGCTCACAAGTGTATTTCACCAATCATTGAGACCACTTAATCGCAATTTTAACACTAAAATGGATGTAAAATACTTGAGGTATTGTTACAAGAATTTTGATTATACAGTATTGTGACAATACTATTGTCCATTGTTTTAATAATTGTATTCAATTGTATTGAATAACATTAAGTCATATTTAACCCCTCTTTGGCCTCACAGTATATTCCGGTCATTATTTGAGACAATTTTGAATTTAGTAGAAATGATTTTTAACTAATTACTCATAATTATATTTAACTAGTGTTAATAAGGTTTTAAATTATGCTAGGTAATTATTCGGCAAGTACTTTACATTTTTTAATTTAAAACGACCTTCGTCGTTTAACTAACCAAACAAATTGTTTAAACAATTTTTAAAATTTGTGTAAAAATTTTGTTCAGGAATTTCCTGACAGGAAATAATATCAATTATAAAATAACATTTTTAGATAACCAATGTTAACATTTTATATAAATATTGTCAAGCAAGTTTAACGAGATTTTTACATTGCATTTTTAGTATTTAATTTAATTCAAATATCAATTGTTTAATGTATGGGAACTTTGAAATGTGTAATAATAGAGTAATAGAATGCAACAAATAATAGAATTGGATTGTATGGCAAATTTGTGGCCAAAATGTGAACATTAAAAAATTTTTAATATTTTTGTTTATTTTTGCAAATAATTGATTATTTCCATAATATTAACCATGAAAATAGAAATTGTTGTTAATTTGTTAAGCAATTTGCAAAAATAAAGTGAAATACAGTAATCCTAAAAAGCATGAGATGTTACGTTTTTGCCGATCCTTCTATTAATCTGCAATTTCCGATGAATCCAAGGCTTAGTTATAAGTAAAACACATTGAATAAAATATATGATCACTTATGTCGAAGAATTTATTGGACTATAAACGAGTAATTTGTAAATTTTCAGTAAAAACTTGTAAAAAACATACAAAGTTTGTTGTATTACTGTTACTGTTAAACAACTTTATGGCTGTTATTTGATAATAAAATTGAAGAAAATAATTGACAAAAGCGTTTCGTTTCAGTCAAGAAGAGGCCATTAAAATAGACGAAGAGTTGTTCAGTGAGTATGGCTTTAGTGTGGATCAGTTGATGGAATTGGCCGGTCTTAGTGTTGCCATAGCT